GCTAGAGGTTGTAGCTAATAAACATAGCTGGACTGAATTGTCTCTTGGAGTTCCTTGGGCTAGGCCTGACAACAATCTTCCCAGACTGAAACCCCAGCTCCCAAGTAATGCCAGCCACAACATTGTGAATTCCTCAGGGCGGTGCCAGTCTCATCCTCTTGTATCTCTCACGCTCCTCAGGAGATGTAAGAAAATGTTTTTCTCCCTAAGCCTGGCCTTCATAATTCCATTCCATCACATATATACACTCTTTATTATGAAATTATCTAGCTATCTTGTGGAATACAGTATGTTCTGCACACTCACCTTCTGTTTGTATTCTGTTATCTGTCTCTTTAGCTATCTGTCTGGTGTGTAATTGCGCCATCCATGTGTATGATTTCTCTTAATTGCCATCTTGTCTGTTGATCATAAAGGATGTCAAAAATAAATCCAATAGATGCATTTTATGTGGATTTTCTTTTTGATTTTGGAAGATGATTGTTAATATATTTCAGTATTGACATGTGCAGATAAACATCCCTAATATTATTTTATGTTTTAAAGAACATTTCTAAGCGCACCTTGGGGAAAATCTTACTGAACACTTTGGAATCCTGCTGTGACTCCCAACATGGTAAGAAAGTACAGTAACACTTGGCACAGAACCTCACGGCTAGGCTGGCAAGACCACTGGTTGCCAGGAAACTTTTCTGGATGGAAGAGAATTAGCAGTGCTCTAAAATATAATATACTCTGTTGCTCAGCAATGGCCATTGATCAAGCCCATAGATCGTTAACTGGACTTAATGATCTTAGAGAGAGAGAGATTCCTGACATGTGATTCAGGTGTCAGGAAAGTTATCCTAATAGCTATCAGTAAAGCTAAGAAAGGATTTCAGTGAGTGGAGGCATAAACCAAAAAGTACTCACTCCTTTGAACCCAGATTATTGTTCTCTGACATGGCAAGAAAATGGGTGAGAAAAATGACTTCACATCGGGAATGAATAGCTGGTGATGTGGTAATGATTTTGGGACAGTGTATCAAAACATCTAATGCCGCCTTGGTGTAGATCTGGGGGGAAAAAACTATTGTAATTTATTCAATTGGTAAAAGAGAAATGAAAGGACATTTAACTGAAAAAAACAAATATTGCTTAAGTTTGAAAGAAGTAAAAATCTTATTGAAATTTTAAACTTGAAGAAATGTTCCAACTTTGGAATTACCTGGAACATCTATGCAGCTTAACCCATCCTTCAGTATGTAATTGCAGACATCTAGGCCAGATCATATCTGATTAGTGATATAGCTCCATTCCTAACTGCAGATAGGATTTTTTTCCCCAGTAGCCTGATCCAGCTCAGAGGCTCAAGCTTGCAATTTGCATTGCCAGAATAAGTTTCTTCATCTCAACTTCTATTTTCTAGTGACTTTGTATAGGTTTACAGGGAGGCAGAATACATGCCCTCTAGCCCAGCTTTTCTTTCAAATATTATTTCAGCTACTTTAGATTTCTTTTCTTGCCTCAATGCAAAGAAAGAAAATACAGAAAAAAACATTGTCCTTTAGTAAAGAAAGTAGGTCAGATCTTCAATATAATAACCTTTCATCTTTATACAATACACACATTTCTTGAGTCTTCTCTTCTCTCCAGGCAGTAGTCCACTGTGCAGATCCCATTGTTAGGAGATTTTCAGGCTCCGAAGGTTGTTTGATGGCTTTGTTCTTTATAGCAAAGTGTGGTATGTGCTTTCTTTAGTTATCTGAGGAAGGCAATATTCCAGATTCTTCTTGCAACCCCCAACAAAATTACATTTATTTCACTATGAAGCAAATAAATATACATCTAGAGAAAGAGAGAGAGGAAAAATAGGGATCTTTAGTTCCACTGATCTGAGGTAACAAAAAATGGTAAGATCTTTAAATTTTAACAATTTTTCAGTTTACATTTTTATTTTGTTTTATACTGTAAACTGCCTAGACTAATCAGTTGACCAGAAAGGTATAATATCAATTGCTTAAAAAAACCACATTCTGTATTTATGATTAACAAAAATATATACATTTTAAGAGTATGTAGGTACAGTATCATTATTTTTGCACCAGTAAATACAATATATTTCAATCCTACTAAAAGGAAGGAGGCTACCACGGCAGCACGAGATGTGACTTTCAAAGTAATGCATTTAGCATCCTGTCTGTTTTGGCCACAACTGATATGATTTGTTAGGTTAGAGCTCCTGTTTGTTTCCTCAGGCCAAGGTAGTAACACTTAGAATGAACATTATGATTTATGTATGTATGTATGTATGTACAGTATGTATGTATGTATTTGATATATATTTGGTATATATAGTGGCCCATCTCACAAAACGTGACTCTGGGTGGTGTACAATCATATTAATGATTAAAACCATAAAAGAGACAAACTTAGATAAAAAGTATAAAAACCCAAGAATGCGGGAGAACAATAGTCATTTGACATCACATAACCATCTTGTAGGCTCACCACGGGATCCCCAAGGTTGATGGTAAAACCAGGTTTTAAGGGCCTTCCAGAAGGCAGACAGAGGTGGGGCCAACCTCACCTCAGGAGGAATGATGTTCCAGAGGGTGGGGGCCACGGCAGAAAAGGTATGTGGTCTGGGTCCCACCAGATGGAACTCCTTGGGAGACAGTACCCGCAGCATAACCCTCCTGCTTAACCTGATGGGATGGGGAGATGTAATTGGGAAGAGGCGATCCCTCAGACAACCTGGCCAGCATAAGACATTAATTTATCTGCAATACTAAAATATTCATTTCTGCTCCTACATGTGTAGCATCTTTCCTGGATTAGAACAATTGGGACTTAACTCCACCTTGACAGTTAAAAATAAAAAATAAACCTATGTTCTGACATTATTACACATAAATCTTACTAATGTGTTACAGAGTGGATTCCAGTGATAGTACTATTAGACTTCAATCCTATGTACACTGTAATTCCACTGAATTTAAGGAAACACACCAAAAAAGTGGCTCATGGGGTGGAAAATGAACATCATGGCAATTTTCAGCATAAGAGATTAATTTACCTGCAATAATAACATATTTATTTCAGTTTCTACATGTGTAGCAATCACCAATGATGTGAGTCACTATGTCTGTATTTTATCCCCCCCCCCCTCCTTCTCCATCAATTTGCTTGATCTTTTTGTAACATTGCCAAAACTAGTAATCTTCACAGGCATCTTACAGTTAGAAAAGCCATCATTTCTGTATGTAAGGAAACCCTCCCTTTTGTTCTCACATTGATATACTTTAAAAAATCTATAGTAGGCTTTGGCAGTCGTAGAGTTCCAATTGCACGATTTTGGTTTTGTTACTCCAACAAAATTTTTCTTTATCTTAAAGGAAAACCACCTATTGTTGAAGTCTTAGATGCTCTCTACCATGAACTGGCTGCCTGCAAACTCACTGGAAACAAGTCCCTTGAGAAAACACCAGGACACCAGTCTTTGTCAAGCTCTTTGGTTATTTCCTGTTGAGCAACATTGCCCTCTATTGTGTGTTGTGATCATCACCATGGGTTCAAAAATTACAATGCAAAATCATGGAGTGTTCTGCCATCTATGAAATGGTCCAGTGCAAAAGATGGAATGGTAAAAGCAATGGTATAAATATAAAGAGATAGGCAAATGGAACAGAAAGTCCAGGATTATCAGTAAGGACTGGCAGTGGGATGAGATTTTGAGGGATGAGTCTTTTGTCCTTTCTCATGGGTCTTTATACAATTGGATATGCTTGGAGTTTAAATTTGAGAACCTATACATGTACAACATATATCTAAAACCTGCTATTATGTACAATATTCCCAAAGTCTCAAAAATTCTCATTTAATGTGTAAGTAAATTTTATCCAGGTGATTGCTCAGTTCTCATGACATTATTTAAGTGGCACCTGAAATCTTCATCTTACCTGTATCATTAATACACTACAGGTAGTCCTCGCTTAATGACCCTAATTGGGACAGGCAACTCCATTGCTAAGCAAAGTGGTTGTTAAGTTAAACATCATGTAACTGCCCCACTTAGTGATGGCAGTTCCAGCAGTCCTGGTTGTGATTGGTAAGCAACCCACGGTCGTTAAGTGAGACACCATGTGACCACAACTTGCAACCTCCTGCCAGCTTCCCCATTGACTTTGCTTGTCGGAAGCTGGCTGGGAAAGTTGCAAATGGCGATCACGTGACCACAGGGACACTAAGACGGTTGTAAGTGCAAGGACCAGTAAGTCACTTTTTTCAGTGCCATTGTAACTTTGAACAGTCACTAAATGAATGGCCATTGAGCGAGGACTACCTGTAATCCATCATATGCAAAATAATACCATGCTGTTATTACCCCATAGAACTTTACTTTTCTGAATATAGTAGAGAAGATTAATTTGCATTTTTAAAAATTATTTCAGTACAGTTATTTACCTTTCCTTGAGCATTTCCTTGGTGGGCAATGCTATGCATGAAAAAAATAAAATAAAATAAAAAGGTACCAAGAGAAATTATACCTTAAATGAGGAATAAAGCTGACTTGAAGTCTGCAGGAACTACTTTAGGGCTACCAGATCTGGGCTGCAAAGATTTAGACAATGATACCAAAAAGATGCCATATCTATAGTAATGGTAGCATTACTTTGTTTTTTATTGGAATCCTAAGAACCTTCCATTGGAGTTAGGTGCAAAATGGGAGCAGGAAGACAGGGAACAAAGTGCTTTGGGGGAGGGGGTTTAAAAGAAGCAGATTGTAATTCTTTCATGCAAAAATCTACTCTTCATTTTATTTTACATTTGGATGAGAGCCACCTTAGTTATGGAATTAAGGGAGAAATCCTGTTCATCTACCACAAACCGCTCACATCTATCCCCACCAGTACCTCTTGATCTACCTTCTGTCCATCCTTGCCTTACAGCAATCTATAAAATAGTTATAGGTTGTTATAACTGCATGTACCTGGAGGAACTATGCATGTCAGAATAATATGGCTGAATGATGCACGTGTGGCTTCTTGTAAACATACAACTTATTTGATTCTAGAATTATGTCTGCATTTTTTCAACTGGAAATTTACAAATGCAGTATGCACTGGTAACAGCTTTTAACTACTGTCTTCAACCATAGTAAAATTTATGTGGCTATACTGAAAGCCACCTTGATTCTTTTAAAGTAGGGTCAGTGCAACAAAGAATTTGGGGTACTAGGAGCCAGACAGAATCACAGTAAGAAATATCAACAGTCTCTGATTATAACTTTGAGAGTATATACAGTAATTGGATTCTTTCAGTGGTATTCTTTCCCATTGCCCACCTTTGTTGTAATAGCGTGGTCTCTGTCTGGCCTAATTTTTCAATCAGCTCAGAGCAGACACTAGCTCTATTCAGTCATTCTTCCTTGGGTAGTTTTGCTGGCTTTTCTAGGATTCTAGATCCTTGTAAAACCTGATACTAAATCATGTGAGATTGCAGGAGGAGAGCTGTGATAGTCTACAGTAACCAAAACATCAGAAGTCTTGTAGCAATTTTGCAGACTAACAAATGTTACTAAAGGCATAAACTTTCATGAACTGGCAGTTGATGGCATATATCACATTAGAGGAAGAATATGGGACAGTGCCTCAAACCCTGTAAAGTTGTTGGGGTCAGTGATGGTGCTGTTAGTGTAAATGTGAGGTCAAGGTAGACATCTGAGTTTGTTACCTGCAACACCCCTGTATGTATGTGATATATGCCATCATCTACTAGCAATGCTTCTCTGGATTCTACCTAGGGCAAACAGGCCAGACTTGCTCAAAAGAATTAATGGATACAAGTTTGACATCAAAATTCAGAACAAGGACAAAGTAATAGCAGAGCACCCATGACAATCCATTATAGATTTCAAAGTAGCTATTCTAGAACTAAGAAACAATACCAGCACAAGTGAGTGAGACACTGCTGAACTTGCATATATCAAAAGGTTTCAGACTGTCTCAGAAGGTTTTAACAAACACAGCTGGTTTTTAATACATTGCAATTGTTACTTATGAGCTACCTGTATTCTCACATGTAATCTTTATATTTGTAACTACCCTGTCTCCCCCCCATCCCAATTTAGATCCTATATCAGTTGAGCTACTCCACGTAGCTGATGGAATGAGCTACAGTTTACAAAAACTTAACGCCTTTTAATAAGATGTGTTAGTCTGAAAAAGTGCTATCAGCTGCCTCCTGATTTTTTTTTTTTTTATTTCATGAGAAATCTACATGAAAGCATCAGAATTCCTGCTGCAGAAGTTCAAGTGATTGTTGGCAATCAGATGTAGGAGAGAAGCCAGTGGCCGTGGTCCATGCTCCTCTTGTCTCATTACATAATTAGAATTTGTGAAAATGGCCTATCTCCAAAATATGACAAATGACTCAGTTCATTGTTCGTAACTGAATGCTTGACTGTCTCAATCTGTAATTATTTATCTGATTTGGAGATCATGCTGCCCCATGGTTTAACCATGGTACCCAACTGGCTGAGTTTGGTCAGTGTGCTATGCTGTAGACAACTTTCAGTACAAAGTGGCTGAATCACACAACTTGCAAACCTAAACCCAATATTACAGATTAGCACATACTGATTTTTTTGTCCCTCCTGCAGGTGCCCCTGGCAATCATTGGATAACAATGTGAACTTATAAGACATGTATTAAATAATATATTTTCCTTCTCCCCGCTCTCTTTTCTTTCTGTATATTTTAACCATCTTCCTTCATGACGTGTCTGGAAATTCCATTGTGTGCCACAATTTTGTAAGCTTTTGGATGGACTAATAAAGATATTCTCTCAATATGGGGTTTGGATTTTTTTTCTCATGGCCAACATAGCTATTATTTGGGTTTGCATCATCCTTTAATTAATAACTTAAGGCAAGTTGCTACTATTTCAAAGCACTATTGCACCAAAACAGTATTGCAGCCTTAAGCACACTTACTTGGAGATTGAATTTCTTTAAAATATTGGATTAAGTGATTGATTAAATTTTCAGGATAGTGGGGTTCTACAAGTCCTGGCTTCATGTGTTTATTGTGACATTATAGCCTCAGAGGGAAAGTACTAGAGCTGTTCAGATAAATTGTTGTTGTTTAGTCGTTAAGTCGTGTCCGACTCTTCGTGACCCCATG